ATTTCTGGTAAATTTTCAGTTCAATTCATTCTTTATGTCACACTCACTAGTTATTGGTTGGTATCCAACATCCAACAGAAAAAAACGTTAAGAGCTACAATAAAACCATTTTATTCTGTTTGCCTTTCCTCGCACTTCTCCAAACGGCTTTGCTCATTCGCCTTCCTAAGAACAAAGAAATAAAACTATGATATTGATTAAGTCTCTTACGTTAAGTCATATGCACAATTAAGGACCATACCTAGCAGTATACCAACTAAAGCAGCGTAAACTGCTACTTTGTGTGCTATCCCCTCCTGAATTGATCATTAGAGTTATCGTAAGTTATGCGAATGTTTCACAGTAGAACCTACCAGCCTTCCCTTCAGCCTCCCCTCCAATCCCGTCATCTCTCCTTTAAGACCCTTCACCTCTTCCATCAAACGAGCTTCTATGTTATCCTATGAAAATACATACTTATTGAGAAGGCTCCTCATGAAAACTTACCATTTTCATCTCTAACCCTTTCACATCATTCTTTAAAGATGTTTCAATGCTCTCCTATAAAATTACAAATTTGAAGATAACTTAGCTTGAGAAGTTTTATTAGAAAAACTGACCATTTTCATTTCCAATCCTCTAGCATTATTTTTCTGAAAAAATAAATTATAGTAATCAAGGCATTTAAAGAAACAAATTTGAAACTATTCAACCATTATACTTACGATGTCGCGCTTGAAGTTTTCTAACATCAATATGTTATTTTCCTCATATTTCTTCAGTTCTTCTGAAACACTTTTTGAGATCTGCAAATCCTAAAGTAGTAAAAATTAAATAAAAGCTTGAAAACTGTAAAATAGGAACCTCTGAGTTGGTGGAGTTCCGCCTTCGTATCATACTCGTGGCGACTGCAATATCGTCATATAATAATAGTTTTTCAATGATTAACAATGTGATTATATGTATTATTCATTAAATGGTGAAGGAACTAAAGAAAAGTATTGGCGAGCAAAACATTTTAGTACCATTAAGTAAAATAAAGAGATCGAATTAATACCTGTGCTGGACATTCGCTTGGATGCAGCTGAGCAGAGAATAGAACGGGGGAAATGATGAAACATTAGCTAAAAAAATACTTTATTAAAAAAAGTTAAAATAAACTTGCATAGAAAATTATTCAAATAGAGAAAACAACAGAAGCTTGGAAGGTTTGGTTTAGAAATAACAACGACCTTGCGCAAAACGGCAAAAAGAGGCTTGGCTGGAACGAAGGGGAAAGGGAACAACGCATGAAAACCAAAATTTTTTGCTTGAATTGTAAGAAAAAAACTGAAATCTTGAATGTAATTAAAGCACTCGCAGAAAATGGCTAAAACATGTTTGAAGGGCAATGCAAAATCTGTAAAACTGGTAAGAATCAACTTCTTAGGGGAGACTCGTAGAGCTCGTGTGTGCGCAACGTAAAGGAGGTAAAAGTAGAAAACCTCCTTCCCTCAAAAAAGCTCTATCATTATCCTTCCACTAGCTTTTGTGGAATAAATGAATTAGCAAGAAAAATGGGGAAACCGATGAAAGAAGTCAAATAATTCCTAAATCAACAGGGTGTGGGAATGGAAAAGCAGTAATTGCACATTTTCATAATTTCTGGTAAATTTTCAG